TCTTTTAATGATTTTCATGATTGAAAAACTTTAAACTAGAACAGAACATTTTTTATGATTAGACCTTCATGTATATCAAACTAAGTAGTATGTGCGTCTCGTTAACCCCAAAACACTGCAAATATAAACCCACCATCTCGCATATGAGTCACTCCCGACGGCCATAGTTGGCGGCGGCAGCCATCTTGGACTTAACGAATGACATCATACTGTTATAAATAGTAACCAACGATATAGGTTGTTTAAGATCGATCAAACGCTGACGTCGTTTCTAAAAATAACGACCAAATTCCCTTAATTAGCTAACCAATCAGGAGAGACCTTCCCATATATAACACGGAAGAACACTAACGCAGGTCATAAGAGTTTTGACACCCTACCAACAATCATGACTAGCTTCAGATGCAAGTTCACTCTCGGTAACCAGAGGTATCTGCAAGTCAATGAATGGAAAGGCGCTCTTAGAGTTTATATTAGAGAATGGAAGGATGACAAACCGACAAAAAAGGGTATAAGCTTACCGTTAATGCGATGGAAAATCCTTGTAGATCAATTAAAACATGCTTACATGGCTTTAGAAAACAAACAAAGTTATGGGGCCCACGTTGGAGGAAATGTTTCCTGTAACGTCGCCGATAATAGCGTCTATGTGGACATACGACAGTACTAGAAACCAGAAAACGACGTTGTTCCGACCAAAAAAGGAATATGTTTGAGACCGAATGAGTATTCCCGTTTAAAAGAGCTGGTACCAGATATTGGGAGAGTGTTATCCGAATTAGACGCAGTGGTGCCATGTTACCTTCAAATATGAACCAGCTGCCCAACCCCAACTATTGCGGTAATTTGCCCGACTATAAATAAAAAGGACAATAATTTTATAAATAGATTTGTAACGTCATTCTAAAATTACGTCAAATTAAAAGTCGAACAGCGCGTATATGATATTTTACGAAGCTTCGACATACACAAAATGAACGTTACTGACTGCGCACCCCTCAACGGAAGTATGGAATATTACGAAAGTAGACTGAAGACGTTTGACTCCTATCCGAAACAAATGTTACCGGATAAATACCAACTGGCAAGCACCGGATTGTATTATAGCGGGAAATCAGACGTGTGCGAGTGTTTCAGATGTCACGTTTAATTGAGAGATTGGGTAAGATCAGACAACGCTTTGACATAACATTACAAGTGGTTGTAGAATTGCGAATATATTAAAATAGTAGGCGCTTCTCAATAGAAACCGACCCCAATAGGCGGATTCGTCGCGTTTGTATCAACAACTAGGTCAACACCTTGCGGGTTTGGAGGATTCAGTTCATCTACGACTGGAGCAAATTTGTTTGTTGATAATAAGGCTATTACGACCCACCAGACGCATTAAATATGTTAACACTTGTTTGTATGGTTTGGATATGGCTGATACACTATCAAGTGAAAAGAGAATATCGCGAAGCTACTGAACATTTACTCGGCATTTTGGAACGCTATATAGAGGAAACCAGAACACATACTATATACTCCACTGTATTGTAATATGTTTTGGATATGTTTGTAAATAATTTTGTAAGCATGTGTTTTTGTATTTGTTGTCAATAAACATGTCTAACTGGAAGCAAATTTTTGTCTTCTTTGTATTTTGACACTTCCAACCCAGCCAGCTATTCTGGCGTAGAAAAATTGTATTATGCCCGTAAGTCAGACGGAAAATATAAAATCGGCAGACATAAAATTCGAAAATGGCTTCAAAGTCAGCAGGCTCATTCTCTGACTAGAGAGGCCAGAAGGAAATTCCCTCGATCACGCGTTATTGTACGAGGGATTGATAGCCAATGGGATGTCGACTTGATGGATATGGTTGACTTGGCCAAACACAATGACGGTTATAAATACGTTTTAATGGCAATAGATATTTTTCTCGCTTCGCCTATTGTGAACCTATCAAAACAAAGAAAGGGGGCGATGTTGTTACTGCATTAGAGCGTATTTTATCCTTTCCTAGGAAACCAAATACCGTGAGAACAGACAGAGGCATGGAGTTTAGAAGCAAAGAGGTTAACAGGTATCTTCAGCACATGGACATTTATCATTTTTACGCTTTAAATACGGAGACAAAAGCAAATTTTGCCGACAGATGTATTAAGACGTTAACGCATAGACTGTTTAGATATATGATTAAAAACAGAACCAAACTTTACGTTGACGTGCTACAAAATGTTATACTTTCATATAACTCAACTATACATAGAAGTCTTGGTGATAAACCAATAAACATTTCTAAAGAGTCAGAAGGAGAAAGCAGACTTCAGCAGTACTTACTTAGCTTAGGACCAAAGGCAAGTCAACTAAACACAAGATCAAACGCTACAGATTTAAAGTAGGTAAGTTAGTACCAGTATCGCACGTGAAAACCCTGTTTGACAGAGAGTACTCTTAGAAGTGGACTGGCGAAATATTCAAAATTAAAAGCCGTTATAAACGAGACAATGTAAGCGTATATACTTCCATAGACTGGGCCGATGAAGAGGAAATCAATGGTACGTTTTACGATCAAGAATTGGAGGCAATTAGTGTGGATACCACGTTGAAAAAGTATTTACAAAAAGGACGCGAAACAAACAAAAGGAAATACTAGTACGTTGGCTGCATTGGCCAAAGAAATTTGATAGCTGGATCCCAGAAAAGGACCTGACACAGTACTCTAAAGTCACGTGATCATTTCGGTATATAAAGCCGATATTCCGCCCAAGAAATTGTCATTGATGATATTGAGAGTTGACACTTTGCATCATGATTATTACCAAGGTCGTGTGCAGCGCTAATTTAATCTGTTTCATTAAATTCGGGCATTTATGCTACCGTATAGAAAACGCTCGTTATGATCCAAAAACTTTTCCCAGATTGATTTGGCAACACAAAACCATTGGCGGAAATTGCTTAGGTTTTTTCCAATAGTGTAATCAATTGTAACGGCAAGGCATCAAGCGTGACAGAGGGACGTCAGAGACTACGCCAATACGAAAGACGTATACAGCGTCTCGGAATTACAGTGCGGCTAAAAGAGATCAAATTATTAACAATATCAGCTAGTCACACCTTAAGTACAGCGTTAGATTTACAGTTGTTGGCAAAAGAAAGAGATGTTGTGTTTGAACCAGAACTGTTTCCCTCTTTAAATTTTAAAAGGTAAGGAGTCCATTATTGTTGTTTTCACAGCGGCAAAGTAGTAATAACTGGTATTAAAAACCTGTCACAAGTAGATGACGTTGTTTACCCCGTTCTTATCGAACTGGAACTTTACACACGTAAGAAAGAGTGAGCGATTAGAGAATTAATCATGAACCAGTCCCAAGTGTACCTGAAACTTAACTTTCTTCTTCAATTAAATGATGCTGCTGTGGCGGTCAGAAAAAACATGAGTCAAATGAATGCAATAGCGCAAGTGGCCGCACGATTGGTGAATGGAACCATGAATCCCACGAGAAGGGATGTTCAATTACTTGAAAGAAGACGACATTTGCTACGGTCCCTAGCTTCTGAAAACGTGTCACTTAGTAGACAAAAATCGTTAAAACGTCATCACTCTTTGGTACCCACATTGTTAAAACTGCCGTATCTTTTTGACACTATTATAGACGAAATCCGGTTAATAGAGAAGCGTAAGAAGAACGTGGTTATATCTATTTAAGGAAAAAAAAACATGTCCGACTTTTACCTTTATTTAAACAGTAGCGATTCTCCCGATATACGTAAGAACAATAACACGGCAGACCTTTATATTCAGTTTCCTAAATCGTACACCTTTGATGGACATTGGACTTGCGCTGTCACATAAAATACTCTTACCTGTGACTTTACGTCAAGAAGTAAAAGACTGTATTTATGCGGTGACCTGGTACAACAAACGTACGTTAGAAACACGCAAGTTTCGGTACTTAGAAATATTGAAGTAGGTTCCAGAAACAAGAAACTTCATTCTGTAGAATATAACCACCCGGTATACGTACCAGTAACTGTGAATCATTTCAACTCATTACATTTGTATTTGAGAGACGAAAATTTAAACATAGTGCAGTTCAAATCCAACGACCTTCATTGTGTGTTACATTTTAAAAAGGATGGGCTCTATAGAAGTTTACGACCATCAACAACAGAAATGGATACCCTTTACACCCGACCCTGAGAAATGGTATCATATTTTAAGGACTTGGGTGATTGATACGTTAAACCCGATCATAAAGGCCGTTACATCGTAGGTAGCGGAAAACATCTTAGAAAAATGGTAGAAATGAAACAGTCACCTTCAGTAAAACTGATTTCCGCCGTAGTACAAGCGATAGAAATGGCCAAGTCAGAGGTTAATCGTAAGAAGGTTGAAGAGGGCAAAGAGCCTAAGAAGGGGCCTCAAAAGCGTAAGAAGTCCCAACACCAGCCTACAGACCATCTAAACGAAAGAGACCAAATCTAGAATTTCAGTTCTATACATGAAATATTTTCATCAGGAAGAGCTGTCTATGTTTGTTACACCCCCTGCAGACACGTCATTACAATCAAGAGAATGGATTGCATACCGTCCAATAAATCAAGTGACAATTGGATCCGCTCTCGAATTTAATATACCTGGTCATACATCGGCGTACTTGGATTTCAAAAGAAGCGTGCCCAATATAAAACTGCAATTTGTCAAAGGCGATTGAAGTGCAGTAGACCCGGACGAAGTAGTTGGTCCAATTAATCTACCATTACACACCGTTTTTAGTCAGGTTGATGTGTCTCTCCAACAAACGCCTTTGTCGCATACAGGAATCAATTATCCCTACAAAGCGTACATCGACACGATATTACAGTCCAACGAAAATACGCAAACAAACTTACTGGCCAGACAACTCTACTATAAAGATACGGGAAACGTCGGTACGAATGATGGTAAAACGGGAACTAATAACAGACTATATATCAGATGCAACCTCACTTAAGGTAGCAAAATTGTAAAAATGGAAGGGCCGTTACACATTGATTTGTTTCAACAATCTAAACTACTTATTAACGGAGTCTCTGTAGGTATAAAACTCCATCCTAACCGAGACCCATTTAGACTCATCACTGACGTCATCAACCCCGATTATCGAGTGAAAATTGTGGACGCTTATTTCAGACTGTGTATTCAGCGACTCAGTAGTAGCGTGTTAATAGCGCAGGAGAAGCTCATTCAAGAAAAGCTAGCCATATACCCTTACCTACGCACAGAGATCAAAACAACAGCCATTGCTTCGGGACAATTCAGTTACAGCGCGGACGATATATTCCAGGGATTAGTGCCCAGTAAACTGATTGTTGGGCTAGTCCCCAGCGCCGCGTTTAATGGCGATTATACCCAAAATCCGTTCAATTTTAAACATTACAACTGTAGTTTTGTAGGACTTTATGTAGATGGACAGTCTTTACCTTCCCAACCGATGCAACCTAATTATGCCGCGGATCAGTATGTAGAGTGTTACAGAACATTAGCTCTCTACAGAAGCGATTTTAACATTTCAAAAGAAGATTATAAGAAAGGGTTTTGCGTATATGCCCTAAATATTGACCCCCACTATTCATTCAACACGAGAAGGAAAGGTCATTGTCGGCTGGAACTTAAATTTTCAGAGGCTTTACCAGAGAGTGGCACACTGATTATGTACGCCACTTTTCCAGACGTACTTAATATTGACAAAGCCAAGGCCGTTTACGTGAAATGAATAATTTAGAACTGGAACGTTTACTTGAAGGATACCCGGTCCGAGTGAGCGCTGCTGATCAAATCCGTAAACAAAATGGAAAATTCGTATATTATACCATGGCCAATTGTACAGGAAGATCTATGAAAGACATTGTCAAATCTTTTACTGCGAATGATAGACAATGGAATGATATGTATGTTAAACATATTGTAAATAAAACAAACTTAGAAATGTATTTTTTTTGTATTTCTTTATTTTTTATATAGCAATAAAACATATGGAAAAAAACATTGTTTTTTTTGTTTTGTTTTTCAAATGATATCCAGTCTATTTTAGTCTTTTGAGATGTTTTCGCCTTTTTAGTTGATTTTTTCCGTTCTCCGGGAGGTGGTAATGACACTTTGGTAGGCTCATCTTTATTTCCTTCTCGAAACCCTTTGGTCTTCGATTGCAACATGCGTTGAAATTTTTTGTAAGGCACCAGAATAAACTTTTCCATTATGCCAATACCGATTCCAATTACACGAAAGCGATTTTCACCAGGGTGTAGACCTCTCGAGGCTTATCCCAATTGACGTCTTTTTTTGTTCAAAACCGATTGATCTGTTTCCGAGTTTGACGTTTAAGTTGATCTTTTTCCGAATGTGTGAGGCGTATTTTAAAGCGCAGAATATTATAGGCAATTTTAGAAAAAGATTTCAATTGCTGTTTCGTAATTGTACTTAACAATGCCTTCCTTTGTGCCGTTGTGGTACTTTTAAGGAGATGTAAAAAGTGACGTTGTTGTTGAATGGGTTCGACCATGGTTACTCTTACACGTTTTACACCGCTTCTTACGTTACTTTATATATTAAGGGGTCCTCGCCGGGAAAAATATGCGTTCTAAGGCGGAATTTATCCTCAGCATGGGAGCTCATGTCTACCGTGTTTTGTACTTAAGGCGTCTTCGTAGGCTTTAACAAATCCTTTCGTTTTACCGGGGTCAAGCTGACGTCCAGATATCGCCACCTATCTTTTATACATTTCATCAATACCATATACCAAGTATTTAAGGCAATGGTCCTCTCGGATACAAGTTTTGCGTGATACTTGTGGTGGCAGCCTTTTGTTAAAAGTAGTTCCATATCTTTGTTTTTTCATAACTTCATGCATGATATTATCAATGATAATTAGTTTATGTCTTTTAATTTTGGAAAATTTAACCATTTCTTCGGCCGTAGGTAGACCTTGTTTACTGTAAACATTTGGAATGGCCCGTTCCATTTAATCAAATAAGTCCTGATGAATACCATAACAATATAAGATATGTGACGGTGGGTCTTTACGGTACATATCCTTCACATTTTTCAAAAACTTGTACACCCATTTCGTTTTTCCGCTTCCGGTCTGTCCACTTATGCATATACTTTAACACGGTTCAAAAGGTAGGGGTGACTTCATTATTATTTTTTTTAGCTTAGGACTAGGTAAGGCGTATCCAATACAGCTGCTCAGTAAACTGATCCGAAGTTCTGATGACCCGTTTTGAAGGGAAATATTTATGATTGAGACGATGATAATAATGTAGACAATAATCATTTGACAAAAGTAGACAATCTCAGCTCGTTTACCTAATAATTGCCATTTCGTCGCTTTAGTTCCAGAGTGACGTATGTCGTATTTCTTTCATTTCGAGAAAATGAGGTTTAAAGTTTAAAAGTCTTGTATCTTTTTTACTATTTGATGAATAAATATGAGAATTTAGACATAAACAAAATGTGTGCAGATATATATATGTATGCAAAATTTAAGTGTCATGCCTTGAATTGTTTTTTTAATATTTAATAAACGAAATATAGTAATGTCATTGAAAAATACGCTGTAGCTGTTTCAAATATTTTCTAAAGTGACGCATTGACATACGTCAATTTGGTTCGAAATAATAGTTTGCGTCAATTTGGAATGGAATTTAAGTAAATACAATTTGCTTACTTTTCTGACGTAACTTTATTTAAAAATATGAAAGCATATTCAAAATATGAAGATATTAACACTTTTATTAGTGAAAACAAAGTAACTGTTTCTATTTACATGACAATACATTTGTAAGATATATCAATAGATTTGATAATAATTTGTTAAAACAAAATCTTTGAAAAAAAAATTAACAATGAACAACACAAAGAAAGATTTTTAAACATAAGAAATAACATATTATCATTGACATATACATGTACTGTAAGCTGTCAATATCAAAAGTTTCAAGCATATTCACCGAAAAGTACTGCTGCAAACTATGTAAATCAATAGTTCAAATATTTATCATAAAAATCATTTTCATAAGAACATCAATGACTAACATAAAGTAAAGACCTATTATTTAAACACAAGAAATTCGAACCGCTTAATGAAATGTAAATTTATCATGATATCATGTCCTTAACATCTGTTCGAATTCATGTGATAAAATGTCTTCAATATGGCACAAAATGGAAAGAATTATTATGAACGTAATTATCTATTCACATTATACAGATTTATTTTAGGGTAAAGCAACTTTTAACTCAAAGACTTATGATCCCATAAAATCAGTGTAACTACATATTTGAACAACATCCTTTAACTAAATTGAATAAGTTCACGCTAATTGACTTCAAATTATTGTTTAACAGTTACTAGTTTACTGGCTTTGTAAAACTGTTGGTCCACTTCAGGCATATATTTCAGCATTTAAATGTCTTTCTTCTTTGATCTGACATAATACCTGTGACACTTTAGCATTTTTTGGATTGGGCAGTTCTAGAATCGGTAAATTTGTCTTGTTTTTCGCGTTGCAATTATAACTGTTTAAATACATCTTTCTTTCATAGGAAAGTTTGTACCCTACTGAGAATGTCTTGCTTTTTCGTACTTGAGACACTTTACTTAGTATAAGGTATTATCATTGAATTTTAATGGTAGTATGTTCTTTGGTAATCCATGAAGTGATGCTTCTGCATTTGAATAAGTCGAACTGCATTCTTGCGTTTCATGTTCAAGGATTTTAAGGACCCGAATTAAAGATAGTGGACTATAGATTTCCGTGTATCTGGTTATACGTTCAATATTGCTATGTATGTTGTCCACTTCTTGGACACAAGAGATGTCCAGGACAACCAAATTTCTGAACTATAAATCTATGTCATAATCGTTCATAAATCGTTTCAGAGCTATTTGTCATTAATTGAGTTTTTATTTTGTGGAATGCAGTTGTCAGACCATAATGTAAAATACTTTATTGTTGGATGGACTCTTTTAACGTCTTTCAGAATAGTAAACAATCGCACTAGCAATCTCATTGGCTCTTCTTCCGCCGATAATTTCATTCCAGATACAGTTGTATGCTGTTCCATCCTTTGATACGTGTGCGGTGAGATTATACGTGGCTAATTTTTCTTTTATAAAAGAAATTGCTCACATTCGCTTTCGGTAAAAGTTTTACATTTTCTAAATCAAAAGAAACAATCATGTCTGTTTTGTTCATTCTATCTTTGTCTCTTTCCATTTTTTGTTGATTTTTTATCACAAAGATGTGTTTCTTATATTTTTCTTGAAATTCCTTTTCGATCGAGTTTAATGAATTATTATCAGCTTCTTATCTTTTATTGCTTAACATAAGTCACAACGGTCTTTTTTAGGTATATGGAGCCGATATTATATTCTTTGTTGAATATTTTCTCTGTACATACCCCTCTGTACATACCCTTTTTAAAAGGCTTTCTTAGAATATTTGCACAATGTTCTAAGTATAACTTGTACATTATGTTTACATTTAAACTGGTTCTAAATATTCTTTTGAAGAGTTTGAACGGCAGTAATGAGACGGTATTCGCTGAAAGGATTCAATATGCTTCCGAATGACGTTGATTTCATCTTCACTTTTTTTTTTTTTTTTTCGTCTCTTAGTTCGTTTTCCCCGCATATCTCTAAACTCGTTTCCTCTTTTGTTATCAACTTTTTTGAAGTATTGTCTGTAACGATTATCTGATATATGAAGGACACCTAGATAAAAGTCTTTACACACTTGTATCTTATCATCATTTCTAAAGAAAAAGAACTCATAAGTATATCTACGATTACTATCTTTTTTCTTGTTTTCATTAGTGCGTCTTGTTATTGTACGGGCAATGAAACCATTCTTTCCCCCATCATCGTCTAATGACCAATATCCGTCATGAATAGCTTGAATTTGTTCATCACTAAACTGCTGAGTACACTTTCTTCGACAATTGCTGGTTCCTTTACAATTTGTTTTGACACTCACTCTTTTTCTGTGGTACCTTTACTCCTTGCCGGTTTATATATTCTTTACCTGCTTGTCTCCTCCTTTTATTAATTGTTTTTGACCACATTTTCGTTATTTCTGACTCGTTTTCGGTCCACGTGTAACAGTACCATTCTGAACAAGATGATTGTTTTGATATTTTTCATTGATAGGTCCATTAAAAACCTGACTTTGATCACTTTTCTGAGAGTTATCATTTTCATTTTCTATCTCATTTGACAAATTTGAATTCGTCTCTTCATAGATACAATCTTCCTTAGCAGCTTCATATCTGTTTGGTAATGATATATTGTTATTATTGTCTAAATGTTTGTCAAGATCTAAGATGTCATATTCTTCGTTTGTGTCTCTTGAGTATACGAATTTATCAACTTCTTGACAGCTTGTTTGATTAAAATTCGCAAAGACATCGATACTATTTTCAGATACCATACATACATTGTCATTGTTCAGTTCGTCTAAAAATGACGCAGGCAAACTATTCAAAGTCATATACATTCAGAGAAACAGAAATTCTTGTGGATTGATATAAGTTGCTCTTTTCATCTCAAATTCATCATTAATTGTCATAGGATATTGAACTTGATTCATGTCTGTTGATGTGTTCGATGTTGCTTCATCATTGCAATTAAATGATAAAGGCCCTTCACAGTGAACTTGAATCACATCTGTAGTTACATTCATCAGTTCAGGGCATTGAATATTATTCATGTCC